GGTTCGTTTTGTACCAACAAAGGACAATTATATTAAAATGCCACCACAAAAATTTGCTCTTTCCTCTCCCCACTCTTTCTTCCAGAAGACGCTTTGTGTCCGAAAAAAGTCTCGAGTTTTCCTTTTTCCCTACTTTTGTCTGCTTTTACAATTTTTTTACGAACGTTTCAAATTATCTTTTTCGCTTATTTGACAAGAGAGTGGTTCTTTCTTCTCTTTACCTACGAAGTTTTGCGCGGGAAAATTGGCGAACGGCCGGCAAAAGTTGATCCCCTTGCGCATGCGCTATGTTTGACCATTGAGTTGCTTTAAGCCTATCAGTATGTAACATTTGAACGTGCCGATTCGCGCACATCAAACTTACGATGTGTTGATGGGATATAGTAGCTTGGCGCCTTCTTTGATTATTACCGATTCTCTCCAGGTAGATCCCAGATAATGGAATCTGAAATATGTAATGTATTACAAGTATATAAATATGACTAATCAGTGAAATGCGTTTATTTAATACTCGTGTTGTCCCTAACTGACTCATTAGTATAGTCTAAACTAGACTAGAATTGTAGCCTAAATATACACTATTTTGAAAGCGAGGAGAAGACAAAACTAGACCACACTAAATTAAAATCGACCAAAGGACTTTGCTACACTGTAAACCACACTAAACTAGATTGAAGTAAATTGAAACAGACTTGGCTTAACTAACCTGGTGCAGACTAGAATAGATTTGGGTAGACTAGAATAGACTACAGCAGACTTATTCACTCAACTAGTCCACGACACACTAGGCTAGAATAGGCTAAAGTAAACTCAAGTAGATTAGTCTAGCATAGACAAGGAGTAGACTAATTTGGGCCAGTGTAGATTAGGCTAGACTAGTTCAGACATAAAGAGGGCAGATAAGAATAATTAGACTAGAAAATAATATGCTGCACTAAACTAGACAGCAAAGACTAGGTTAGAGTAGTCTGGACTAAAAAGATCATGATAGACTAACTTGACTAGAAAAAACTAGGCTACACTGGACTGGTTAAAAATTACAGAGCCATGCAAAACTAGACTAGAAAGGACAAGGCTGGACTTAAAAGAAAGAAACGCCTCTGTTCCACTTAACTACACTGCAAAACACTAGTTCACACAAAACTAAAGAAGTTTAGGCTACACTAAAGAAAAAAGTAGGCTAGATTAAAATAGACCATAAAAGACTGCACCAACCTAAGCTAGACTAGGATAGAATGGGCTATACTAGATTGGGGTAGACTAGGGTAGACTAAATAAGCTCATAGGATACTTAGCTAAAGTAAACTGGACTACAAGGGACTTGACTAAAGCAAACTAAACTAACAAAACTAGGCTGGTGCTCACTAGTATAGAAAGACTAGGTAGGTGTAAACTAGAATAGAGAAACTAGGATAGACTAACTACAATAGTTTAGAATAGGAAAGATTAGTAAGTTAACAAATGATGGACTCATGTAAAAAAAAACTAGATTAAAAAGACTAGGCTCGAGTATACTGGACTAAAAAGACTACAGTGAAATGGGCTACAAAGTCTAGGCAAAGAGTATTCATACTTACCACTGTGGCACTAAATGAGTCCAACCTGTTTTGGTCTGAAATGACAGTAAGAAAAAGCTATTGTGTAATTGTATGAATTAGTGCTGATAGGAACCTTGTGAAATCTTGCTTATGACAAGGCAATATTTTCAAGGACGTATAAACTTAATGCTGCATTTCAAAAGAGAAGTTTAAAAATACATGATGTGACCAGTGGTCTTACAAACCATTAAGTAAAGTCTCCATAAACTCAACGGCCAGTTCATTCTGGCTTGCATCTGGCCTGCTGGTCTGAAAAATGATGGTCGCAAAAACAAGCAATCAACAACACAACTAACACGCTATTAATGAAAATGAAATTGAGGTAAATGTCAACTCAACTTAATTAACAGCAACAAGCTTAGCAGGGTCTTTTAGTTAGTTGTCAATCTTACCAGCGCAGGCTCTCATGTTATGCTAAATTCTCAATTTCTCGAACAGCTTTGTAGCTACTGTTTTTTAGGAGACTAAGTAGCTTAGCAGCTGCATTTTTCCCCCAAACTGTCACTATGATTGTTTTTCTCTTTACTGACCAATTATTGTTGTAAATGGATGCCTGAAATGGGGCCAATGCCTGGGTTACAGCGCATCACCAATCATGCAGGCAGTATCCTATCTGGGGCCTGGTTCAACACATGAACAGTGGAGCCCAGTCAATGCCCATAGCACTTGCCTTTCATTTACACCAGACAGCAGGTTAACTTACCCCAAATAAACTGAGAAGGGTTTCCACAGACAAGGCTTTGTTATCATGAATGTTGAGAAGAACCTCTATAAACAGCTTAGGTTGATGTTTCCTTAAAAGCTAAAATAAGACACACAGAATTCCTTGTTAATCAGTATATCTCATTTTGGTTGAAAAAATATTTTTGTAGTAATCAGTTAATGAACCAAAATCCCAAAACAAACTGCACCAAATTCATATTTCTACCAAGTATTATTAATTTATTGATATCATTGATACTAACTCACTCACAAATAATTTAACTATTGTGATTAATTAACATCATAATTAATCATCCTGTGCTTAAGCATCCTGATTCAATATGACGTCTACATGTTAGTGTGCTTGGAGAGTATACTAACATATCATTTGCAGGTACTGTTATCATAGACTATTGTTTTTATCTAACATAATATTTTGTCTCTAAACTTTTGTCTACAGTTGAATCAGTTATCCAATTCTGTCTGAAATCACTTGTGTGATAAACAAATCATACTCCTGCTTTGGGGACATTTGATTCTGTAAATGATTAGATAATTACAGACTGAATTGGAATCCACTTGCCCCTCTTCTGTCTGCAATCACTTGTGGGATAAACAAATCACACTCCTGCT